TCATGTAGTCGAATTTTTCATTAAATAAAAGAAGTCTTGGGCTGAAAAATAAGTTCGACAATCAACGTTAAATGGCGGTAATATTATTCATTTTATTAAAAACATATGAATGATCGCTTGTTTTAATAATAAAAACAAACAATTCTAGTAGGAGAAAAAGTCCAACAATCCATCCATATTTCTGTTACTTACTGCGAATTTATATTAGACCTGGCTTTGTTAAATGTAAGCGGCCGCCATTTTTTAAGTTGTGTATTTCACGTGAGGAAAATTCAGAGGGATATCATTTGGATTTGTTAGTCGTACACCTTTTTAAAAGATGGAAACTTATTTGAGGATTGTAACAGACAATAAATAAGTGTTGACAGAAGTGTAAACATTTTAAAAGCGGCTAGGAAATTAGAAAACTTGGAAATTGTTGAAAGGCTGCCTAACGAACGTTGGGTTGTTTACTTATTCTTTGGGCTGTGGCTGTCATTGCTTTTCAAGTTTTCATAAAGCATACAGCATGTTTTGCATGTGGAAGGAATGTATTATTCTTCGCGAATCATATTTGTGTCCGATTTCTTGTCCTTATAATTGTTAAGCATGCTTCTTTGTCAAAACAGCACAGTCAAAGTGAACCCTATAAAAATTTATTAATATTAAGAAGTTTTAGCACTTAAACATATCAGGTACCGACAAGTATAGTTCCCAAAAATATCTCATGGTCGAAGGGTCTTAAATAAAATCGTTTCAATTTCCCCAGAGTTCTCCTATTACGTTCGTAGTTCATTGAGTTCCGTTAAAGTAAATAGACAGTGCCGCGTGATGTAATTATAATTGAATACACAAACTTTCAGTTTTTTAATAAGTAGAAATGCGCATTTTGGTCAAGGAGTTTACCTAACATTTCGGTGTTAATTTCCAACAAATGGATTTCAAACTAAATTCATTATAATGCGATGCATTTGTAGCCTTTTGCTTTTATCTCTCCTTGTGTGCAAGCAGATGTCAAGCTTAGCTTGTGTTTTATTTTTATTTTATTAATTTATTTATTTATCTAATTTTTATTATTATTATAATTATTATTATTATTATTATTATTATTAATAATTGTATTATTATTATTATTATTGGCAGCACATAAAAATACAAGAGAATGATGAAATATGTAATTTATGTGTCAGGGTTTTATATTTCTTTCTTTTGGCTTTAACTGCGCTTATCAATATTATGTCAGTTATATAGCAGCGGACAAGAAATAATTGCCGACTTTTCCATATGAATCAGAGGTGTAGTACAGATTATTTCATACAGTGTTTATTTGAAAGCGTAATGTATGAATTCTAAGCGCCAGTATGAATTAAGTTACTAGTACAATTCGGTAATATCTCGATGTCACCAACCTGGCAAACACAAAATTGTTATTGCAATTTATTTCTGTAACATCTGATATCTACTTTGCTTTCTCTTACTTTCGGATTAGTCCTAACTTGTTAACTTTTTTGGAGTAACATAAGTCATGTACTGCCCCTTATGGCTTTTAGAGGTTGCTTTTGGGGTTGATGCCATTCGGAACTGCCTCGGCTATTATCTATAATAACCTCGGAAACAATACGGATTGAAAGTAGTTCTACCACGTGGTGTCATATGTAAACAGAAACAGAGATAATGTAAAACGAATGTATAAATTTGACATCCAAAAGTCTGTTTCGGTACACATATGATTGAAAATATACCTGACAACAATTAGTAATTTACATATGCCCATTGATGAACACTTTTAAACAAATCCGACTAAATGTCAACAGGTTGGTGTTTTGCACTTCCGGTTTCCACAACCATAATAATAAATATAGAAATAATGTATTTTTTGCTTTTGTAGCTATGAATTCACTTATTTTAGGTTGACTTTTACAACAAATATTTGAAATAAACTTGTCAACAACTTCCAGCATTAAATTACTATTTGTTAACATGATAAGTTTCTTAGCGTAGGTTAGACCGAAATACCTCATCCGTTCTGTGTATTCATACTATTGTGTTCGAGGTCCTTATCCGAAGACTGACGGAAAGGGCCGAGTAGTTGCGATTGGGGTCGATGCCCACCTTTTAAGCCTGCGTTATCGTAAGAGGCGACTAAATGGGATCGACTTATTTGAGTCTATACATCTCTTTGCTACAGCAGGTGAGGTGGTTTTGACCCTTGTTGCTAACGCAAGAGGTTAGCCCAAATAATCGTTCTTGTTACCCTGCCTTATGACCTTTACTGTGTTGGTGCACCGTTAAACCAAAGGCACAACATGTTCTTTCCACATAAGTTGTTGAACAACATTGGTAATGTTCAGTCTAGATACTAATATTATCTTACTTATTTATAACATTTTATATACAACCACCGGAATTTGTGCCAGTCGTGTTATTGAATAAACCCAAAACCCAAAGAAATGAACAATAAGGATCAAGTCACGGTCGTTATTATGATTGAATTCATGCTAAGTACACAATATTTCCCCACACTACCTTTCAAAATAAAGCAGAGCAAACTGTGAATTTGGTTGACAAAAGATAAATTCACTTTACTGAATGCGCTTGTGATAGCTAGCTCATATTGCTATGCACTTTGATTTTTAGCTCGACTATTCGAAGAATATGAGAGCTATTGTAGTCGCCCCGGCGTCGGCGTCGGCGTCAGCGTCCGCGTCGGCGTCTGCGTTGGTTAAAGTTTTTTGTAAAGTCAAATATCTCAATTATTGCTTGAGATATTCAATTGAAACTTACAATACTTATTTATAGTAACAAGGTACATCAGATTGACAAGTTGGATAACTCTACCTACAATATTGACAGAATTATGCCCCTTTTTAACTTAGAAATTTTGGTTAAAGTTTTTTGTAAAGTCAAATATCTGAATTATTGCTTGAGATATTCAATTGAAACTTACAGTACTTATTTATAGTAACAAGGTACATAAGATTGACAAGTTGGATAACTCTGCCTACAATATTGACAGAATTATGCCCCTTTGAAACTTAGAAATTTTGGTTAAAGTTTTTTTCTAAGGTCAAATATCGTAATTAATGCTAGAGAAATTCAATTGAAATTTACAATTCTTTTTTATAGTAACAATGTACATCATTTTGAAAAATTGCATAACTCTGTCTGCAATATTTGCAGAATTATTTGCCCCTTTGAATCTTAGCAATTTTTGGTTAAAGGTTAAAGGTCTTCAAACATATTTACTTGAACCTTTACACATGTACTTAGGGTCATAATTTGAGGGTCATAATTGTATGTCACTGACCAAGTTCCATAACTCTATCTTGCATTAAGGCTGATTCATATCCCCTTTTCTACTTAGTCTCCTGGTTAATGTTTACATGCAAGTTTTACATATCTCAATAACTATTAAAGATATTTATTTAAAACTTCACTTATGCATTTAGGGTCAGAATTGTAGGTCACTGACAAAGATCCATATAATTCTATCTTGCATTTAGGCTGATTTTTCTTCCCCTTTTTCAACTTAGAAATTCATGTTAAGTTTTGCTTGTAAGCTGTTATCTCCATAACGACTGAAGGGTTTGTGCCTTTTTTGGGACAATTTTATGCATTCATAATAATAAAGCAGTGATTTACTTGATAAAACATCTTAATAACAAGCCTTTATACCTTTTCTGTCAATTTTATGTATTCATAGGTAATTAGTATTATTATACTCAATAAAACACCCTTGTGACATTACCTTCTAAATAGTCAAGGCAATACTGTATAATTAGACTCTCTCTAAGGCCTATAACATGAATTTATAAAAAAAAATTAGCCCTTTTGTGAACTTAGAAAATTTTACATTATTAAGGCTCTTTTACTATCAAGCACTTAGAATAGTCGAGCATGCTGTCCTACTGACAGCTCTTGTTAAATCGGACTGTAAATCGTCCGGTTAGCTATGACTATGAATCGGGAGACAATGGACGGTCACTTACCTTTTGATTGATTATATAATCCTCTCTACTGTCATTTGACCTGTACCTCTGCTTCTCTGATATGTACAGAAATTTACAGTTCCTTTTGAAAGTAATTTCAGCAAGTACTCATATACTTATAGCCTGCCCTGGAACGATATAGTGGTTCTACTTCCTCTGGTGAATTCAAAATGCCTTACTGCCGTTTTACGGTGGGGTTACTACCAAAACCACCACAGCCACCAAATCGAACTGTTTGTGTGTCTCACATTTCGATGTTTACCTAAGCATCGGCCACCATTCAGATAAGCAAAGTACGAATTCTTCCGAAAACAAATAACACCGGTTCCATAGGCTCTATTTGTATTTTTGTTTATTTTGAAAAAAATGATGCCAGTTTTTATTTAAACATTTTACAACTTCTGGGTTTGAACGGTTTAAACTGTTTTCTCTATAACTGATTAAATATTTTATTACTGTTTCGGAGATCTCATTTTCTATTCAATTTTTGATTACTGAGTCGTTTCAAGGACGAAGAACATTGAGGTCTTCTAAGCAAAACTTGTCAAAGTAGTCCTTTTGCTCGCCTGGTTTCCATCCATTGTCGGTAGTCAACATTGAATCAACTTTGTAGATTTTAACGAAACTTACGACATTTATAAGCGGTTTATTGTTAGTGAATTGCATAACCAGTGAAGCTAGGGGTTTAATCAAATCATTAAAATATGTCGACCATACATAAAAACCATGTTCCAGGATCATGTCACTGGAGTATGTCTCGTCCTTAGCTCAGTCATACTCAAAGTGTTAAAATCTAACCGTTTATGGAGGACCGAATTCCGTCGTTGTCTATCGCTAGCTACATCCCCTGTGAATGTTTATTTGTCTTCTATACATATCTTTTAATACCCACTATTTTCCATAGCATTATGTGAAAATTTGTCTGTTAAGCAAATTTCGATGCAACGATGCGTTGTATCTTATTTTTCAAAATTTCAAATAATTATATATGCATACAATGCATTTATCTTAATATTCTTTTATTTATTTTAGCGAAGAAAGGATTAAAGTGGTCACTCCTGAGAGTCCTGGACAAAGAGATCTTCTACCTAAAATTGCAGCCGCTTTTAAGTCTCTACACGATAGCAAGGACATTAGAACGCTACTCTTTTATTATACCGGACACTTTTCCTCCTCTGAAACTGGATTTCTGCTAGATGGCAACAATAGCGTTTTAAATCTGACGGATTTGCAAGCCCACTTCGAGCGATTTTGTGAAAAAAGGAAGGAAACTAAAAGAATTATAGCATTTCTCGATTGCTGTGAACCACCGGTTATTGAAATTAGTCTACCAAAAAGCAAGCAGGTACAAATTTGTCAACTCAATGTCTGTAGACAGAACGAAGTAGCCTACCAGAATAAAGATGGCAGTCTTTTTCGAATGTTATTCGTTCAAGCCTTGACAAGGAAGATTTTCAATATAGATTGTATTATTTATTCAGATGAATGCAAGTATTGTGTAATGTCAGGAGAGTTCATTTCTATAACGAAAATCTTTGACTATATCTCCGATCACATCACAAGCGAAAATAAAGGCAGAAAACCAGCAATTAGTTTGCCGATAGATAGCACCACTGACGAGACCTGTTTCGGATATAACATCGAGTTAGCTGCTGAATTCGAGTTCAAATTTCAGAACAAAAATTTCGAGGAAAATGTAAAAATTGAGATTACGAAAGGAATATATTGCGACATTGACAAGTTGAAATCATGTATTCATCATGCATTATGCGGTAAAATATTTCATACCCAGATTATATTATAATTGTATGTTGCAGTTCATTTCTTAAAATTATAATTATGTTACACAACTAATGCCTGCCCTGGACTCATAAGAAGCTACATCTAAGAAGTCTTATTTTATTTCTAAAGCTCTTTTTGTACATTTGAACTTTCTAGTCTACAGTGTATAGAGCTCAGATATTAACCACATTGCATTATTGAAGCCGTGATGACTTAGGTATCTTTCTCCCTAAAATGAGTCTTTATATAATATTTTCACCACGTGGCATTGTCTTGCAATGAGAAACTTAAACGTGTATAAACCTGAATTCAAATTTTGCCACGCCCGCATCGTTATATAAGCCTAACATTTATTGCGTCATATTTAAAAAAAACTCCATAGCTATGACAAGAACTATTTTGTAGTTTTACAAAAGTATATATCAATTCCTTGTGGTCATAACTGGCCCGGGTCTGAGGTCACCTAATTTATATAAAAAAATTCAGAAACACTAAATTATATCTCCTTTTCTTAAGTTATAATACTATGTAGCTTTAATGAATCAGAGGACTTCTACAGTGGTTTGATAAGTTCCTACTTTGTCATAGGTTACTTTTGTTTCCTTGATTTGGATTGGATCATTATAGCAATATTCTCACCTTATATCATTATGCGCAGAAAAGTAGACGATTTAAAATTCCTCAAAATATATTATGCCCTATATAAGGGTTAAAAATAAGATTACTTGGGTGGACAGAGAGATGCAACTTAACAGGGAGATTAGTTATATATGGAATGTGTTATTTTCTAATAGACTTCTTCAAAATCTTATTATATTTTGGTTACAAAATGTATAAGCTTTGATATAATATCTGCTTCATACCATAGACTGGTCAAGTAATTAGAAGTAAAGACAAAATTTAATGATCTCCGGAAAAAAGACACTATTGCTATCAAATATATATCGCATATATAGGTTTGGATTTGAAAGGGCTTTTATTTCTTTAAAAAACGGCCACTTTGAAACTTTTCACATTGGTTTGTTTGAATTTGAAAAAGCAGTTGATAGGGTGTTTAACTTTGAATTTGATATTATCATTGCATACCAAGTTCTTGTAAAATTTTTAACTTCAATATTGCCCTCATGAACTTTTGGTTTTATTTTGCAGAGAAGAATGACGAAACACTTATGTTCCCTTCAAGTAAGTTTCTGGACACATTATCATTACAAATCTACAATGGACAGCAACATGGAGAAGAATTGCAATATATGGTACAAGTTTCGGCTGCGATGGATAATCAGCAATGTGTTGTTGTCTCAGTAAGGCCAGTTTCAAGAATATTGAAGGGAAGAGTTGTGTTGTTCCCTCCACAAACAGAATTTATTGAGTATCTGAAGGAAAACAAGTTGTTAACAGAGTCGGTAACTATTTGATTATTTGTCTGTAAAATAATTTTATTACAACTCACTGGATTCAAAAGGTGGTGGTGAGCATACAAACAGAAAACAACGGTATCCCAAAATCAGACCTATACTTTGTATACTTTAAACAATTCTCTATAAGGTTTGCTAAATAGGACTTAGCCCGCCTTTTTGGGACTATTTTGTCTTTAAAAATAATTTTTGATGGTTTTTCATAAACCAAATGGTTGGATCTATTTGAAAGTCAACTTTGATTATTTATATCTTAATGGGTTTTCTATCAGATTTACTTTAAAAGTTGGTTTAGATGTTGCTAGAGCTGCTAGATGATGGCTATAATGTATTTGGCAATTCTCTTTACTTGAGAAACAAATATTTGAATCTTTAGCTAATGCTGATATCAGAGCAAAATCGGATATCATTGAAACACATTAAAAAGTTTAAAGGTTTATTAGATATGCTTCGGGTATTTTTATACTCCGTTTTTAGCAACATATCACGCTGTTATTCTAAAATTCAAAACATAAAAAGGTGATGTAATAATCCATTTATTATTAAAAGTAAATTATACAAATGATAAGATAAATTGTCGATAATAAGTCGTTGTTGGTTTTTTAAAAAGATTATTCGTATTTTGATGAATTTCTGTAAATTAATCTTGTGGAGGTGTTTTTTCTTTCAATAAAAATGTAGAAATTGCTTTATGTTATTTGAATGTCATAACTTTTAGAATCAATCTGTAAACATCAACATAATCAAAATTCAAAAGTGTGTCTATAGGCTTCCTTCACAATCGAACTAATATAAATTCTATATAAACCAATCAAAATTCACTCTGAATAATTATCGACTTAAATGATTTTGATGAATAGTTCATATATATTGAATCACAGACAGAATCACCGAGGGACGCTCCTGCAACTGTTACACTGTCAAAAAATCAGCTTGGTACAATTAGTACTAATATCAAGTATGACGACGTTCTCAAAACGATGAGCTCTGATCTAAACGAAGTGTATAAAAAATGGGACAATGTTAAAGTTAGTAATGTTTTCCTCTTTGATTTTTTTCTTGAACTAATAAAAGAATAATTAATATCATTTACAGGACAACACAAAATACTTTGGAATACTAGAAGTAATTAAGATATATCTACGGCAATATTATTTGCAGAGAAAGTGTCATTAGCTTATTTATTAAAACCACATTTAGGTTTCAGAAATTGTTTATTGAAATTGACCATGTATTCAGGCAATGTATATATTTTCTGGAAAGTCTATTTAAGTCCCTTTTTAAACTGTTTTATGCTCTGGTTATACAATTAGTTGAGCCATTGTCCGCGCGCGTGTGTGCGCGCACGTGTGAATGTGACGCGCGTTCTTGAGAGTACGTCTGCATGATTGTTTGATAAAGTATAAACTTTGCATCTGGTCCATATCTTATACATGAATGATGATATTTTAAAATCAATTGTTACACATTTAATTCTTTATATACATAATGTACCACATGCAAACCCAAGTCCGTATGTCAATGTCAAGGCAGAGGTCGGAGCTAAGCCAATTTGTTTTAAACAACTTTCGTGCGGTTTAAGTTCTTGTCCGGTTGCAAAAATCTAGTTCAAAAATAAACTGGTACACATGGCAACTTTATGTAGATTATGTATGTCATCAGTAGGTGAAAGGTTAAGATCGCAGCAGTGGACACAACTTGAGTGGATTTCATATATTTCCTGAAATGCAGTTTATGTTTGTATCTGGCTAATAAATTCTGCTTGCTTGATTTATTTTCAGAATGGTACTCATAATTATTATAAGAGGACGTAAGACACTTATTCCTATATTTGAAATATGTTGGCCACGGGAGGGGATTGAATTTGGTGCATTTTGTCTGGCTTCCATCGTCAGTAAGTGCGTCCGTGCATCCGTCGTCAACTATTTTTACAAACAGCTTCACCTTAGAAACCACTCGGTCAAATTTTATTACATTTTCCTGGGATATTTCTAGCATGAAGCTCTACTGAAATTGTTCACATGGTTTTGATACATTGAACATCTGGGTCAGAAGGGATACAAATAGTCTTTTAAAAATGAAATCTTTATAAACCTTCTCCTCTCAAATTGCACAGCATAAAGCTTAGATATATCATTTATGTAGTTCTACAAAAAATGTTAAAATTTATAGTGAAAACTTTAATAAATCCTACAGAAATAATTATGCTCTATTGTTAAACATACTCAAAACTACTCAATAACATTTATATTTAACATTTTAATATATTCACCGTAATAATACTAAATACATTAATTTATGTTGGTGGTTGAATGTTATACTGCTATTTTTAATTTGATTAAAATCAGATAAAAAATAGATTGGATTAATTAAATAGAAAAAACGTAACTACATTTTTGTCCAAGGTGACTTAAGTTTACACAAACACGCACTTTCGTCATATCGTAATCGAGACCTATTGTAATTAAAGTGTCCTTTCCTGAAAAAATAATGGACACTTTTTGAAAGAAATAATCTCCTAGATGTATTTAAATGTAAAATACTGTATATACTTTATAACAAGTTAAAGTAACTGTCAAATGCACATTAACACTTTTTAAAGAAAGTTGTACCAAAGCACTTTCAGGCTTTTTATTTTAATAAAGTTCTACTAACCAGAAATTTATATCGAATGACCAATTAAATATGTTTTGAACTTATGTTTTGTATCTAATATTGTGGAAATTTAATGTTTCATCCGCTTACTTGAAGATTGATTCCTTCGTAATTCAACTAATCCCTGCTGTGTTTATTTTCTTTTAGACAACAGGGGTAAAAGAACTTAAAATCACTTTTCCTGAGAAGGACAACGGAAGTCACGAATTCATACTTTTGGAGCTGATACGAGAAAGCTAAAGTGACATCACATAGGTAATTGAGAGACCTAAAATGTCATATCGTTGTTTACGTGGCCTTTGTTAACTTAACTTGTTTAGCTGTGGCCATGATGTACTTGTGAACAACTGTTATTCATTTGATGTGCTTTAATATGATCCAAAACCATTAAGGGCCGTTATTAATTTTGGTTTGTTGTGTAATACTTATTCATGCACGACTTTTTACATTAGACTGATGTATTAATTTTGTTTTGTCTCACATACTGAAATATGTGTTTGACATTGACATTTATCGCTGTAAGGTTATGTGTATGTATGTAAATTACCTTGATTAAGTACTCTTTTTCCTAATTTAGTGTCATACATGCAAATAGCTACTATTCTTGTTCCTTCCGAAGTGCTATAATGTAGCTGAATTGCATTTTCACAAACATAGCCTTGGTTTCTAACTGTACTAATTTATATTTATAAAATTATATTTTGAGGGTTTTTTTCTTTTTGGTGTTTTTTTTCTTTTCACTTTTATATTTTTATCTCTATGCAGTCATTGTCAACAGAGGGTATACAGAGAATAAAGTAAGGTTCAATTTTAGTTCGTCAGATTAGTTTCGGATTAAGCAATATGTCTGCAGATGTGTTTAATATTCTCATTTAATTCTGATTTTTGGTATTTTGAATACAGCACTAGAAAAGTTAGTAGTATCATCTGTTAAAATGTTGTTTGTTTTGTGGTATTGTGATTCATTTACCGACAAACCGATACAGTATTTTAAAAGACCAATGGGTAATTTAATTGTTGAGAATCGAATATTGCAACATGTACTACCGGATTTATAAGGAAAAAAATTAATTTAAGCAAAGAAACTTCATGAGCAATGAGAGTTATTTTATTATATTTAACTACATTGTTAAGGGTTTACAAGTATGCTGTATGAAGTATTAGAGATCAATATATTCAAATTATGTAGATGTTACACGAATTTTATATTCTCATCAACTTTTCATATCTTAAGGAATGTTGTGAAACCAAAAAACTATTTTTGCAACAAATAAGGAGAAGATTTGATTATGAAATCAAAAGAATATATGTAGAAGTTAAAGTTATTTACAGTACTAGTATTTGAAATACCTGTAAAATTTGATTATTTTATTTTATACATATTCCAGTAAATTGATTTTCTAATTGTACATAGATGTTTTACTTATAATCATGCTTGTAGTAAGTGCTTTTTCATTTTTGATTCCATGTGTTTTAAGTTGTGTTGAATCATTAAAATAAGTGGAAATTTGTGGATGGGAAACAAAAGTTTTCATCTAGACAAAATGTTGTTGTTTTTTCTGGTCAACATGTTCTAATTGTTTTGGTTAACTGACTTTACTTATTTTATTATCGTAGGCCATTCATTTATATAATGGTTTACCTGTGACAGATGAATTCAAAATCAGAATAATCATCGGTTGAAAAAGCAAATTTTATGATGGAAATAGTACTACTCCATATAAAGGGTTTTTAATTGTGTTCATAAATTGTTATATTTTTTCATGCTGAGATACAGTTACAGGCTGATTTTTTAAGAATTAGACAAAAATGTACACATACATTAAGAAGTGTAAACTAAAAAGGCCATGTTTTAACTTTATTTACAAGTTGATAAATTTTGTTAAACAATTGAACCAATTTTATTGTATGGATATGAAGTATGGGGTTTTGGCAACTTAGATATACATGTACATGTATATGAAAGAATCAATCTGGATGTTTTTAAAACTAACATTAAAGAATAATCCATCAAATAATATATAGATATGTATTAGGTGTTTAACCACTGATCACAGAAACAAAATTTAGCATTGTTGCTTATTGGTGTCAATTACATAATGCTGAATCAAGAAAATCATTCAGCAATTTATATTTCTGTGTTTATTAATCAAAGTGATGATAAGGAATGTTGTGAACCTAAAAACTATTTTCGCAACAAATAAGGAGAAGATTTGATTATGAAATCAAAAGAATATATGTAGAAGTTAAAGTTATTTACAGTACTAGTATTTGAAATACCTGTAAAATTTGATTATTTTATTTTATACATATTCCAGTAAATTGATTTTCTAATTGTACATAGATGTTTTAATTATAATCATGCTTGTAGTAAGTGCTTTTTCATTTTTGATTTCATGTGTTTTAAGTTGTGTTGAATCATTAAAATAAGTGGAAATTTGTGGATGGGAAACAATAGTTTTCATCTAGACACAATGTTTTTTTTTTCTGGTCAACATGTTCTAATTGTTTTGCTTAACTGACTTTACTTATTTTATTGTCGTAGGCCATTCATTTATATAATGGTTTACCTTTGACAGATGAATTCAAAATCAGAATAATAATCGGCTGAAAAAGCAAATTTTATGATGGAAATAGTACTACTCCATATAAAGGGTTTTTAATTGTGTTCATAAATTGTTATATTTTTTCATGCTGAGATACAGTTACAGGCTGATTTTTTAAGAATTAGACAAAAATGTACACATATATTAATAAGTGTAAACTAAAAAGGCAATGTTTTAACTTTATTTACAAGTTGATACATTTTGTTAAACAATTGAACCAATTTTATTGTATGGATATGAAATATGGGGTTTTGGCAACTTAGATATACATGTACATGTATATGAAAGAATCAATCTGGATGTTTTTAAAACTAACATTAAAGAATAATCCATCAAATAATATATAGATATGTATTAGGTGTTTAACCACTGATCACAGAAACAAAATTTAGCATTGTTGCTTATTGTTGTCAATTACATAATGCTGAATCAAGAAAATCATTCAGCAATTTATATTTCTGTGTGTATTAATCAAAGTGAATGAATATGCAAATGGATTATTAATTGTATCACAAGGCTGGCTATGGCTCTCTTGGGAATGTATTTTTTATGTTTAAAGTCTAATAAAGTGTCTATTAAATTGTTATGTTATAAAATATTGTGTTCTGAGTGTCATATAATTACTATATGTTTATAGTTTGATATGATTATGAAATGTGAGAATGACCATAAACTTATTGTTTGTTTTATATTATATATTTTATAATTTTTATTATATTTATTTTTGACAGTCTAAATGTGCAGTCATGTATTTGCTTTTTTTTTTCATTTTGTTTCGGTATGACTTCTTGCGAAATGTCAAACTAGTATTTTTTATATTTAAATATATCATATTACTATCTGAAGTATTATCAGTGAAATGAATATATGTAAACATGTTACCCGTCTAAAACGAAGATATATTTAAAAGATTTCTGTTAATAGCATCACTAAATAAACATGCTTGCAGATTAACGATCATCTATAGTAAAAGACACAAAAGTTTTCCTTCAAATACTTCTTCACTATACGGATTATTTTCAAGTAAAATGTGTACCCACCCATTTATTCTTTTATTGATATGGTTAATTATTGTTGCCTAACCTGTTAAATTCTCAGTCAAATGAATATTAATTGATAAATATCAATACCTACTCAAATCCACATGGATCTGATTATCCAGAATGTAAGTCTTACACCAAATTCCCTGTTACACACAAAAATTATAAAAACAGTCTATTTCCTTATTAACAATTCATAACAACTATTCATAACAACAATAAGGTGACACTTTCTGACTATTTGCGGTATACCTTTGTAGTATTAGTTATAATTTGTTAGTACAAATAGGTATATTGTTCGTCAGTTGATTCGCACTTAATTTATGACACTTGTGTCTTTGTGAAATATGCACCAATTTAATTATTATGACATATATTTTGGTTTTTGATGAATTGTTGTATATATTACGGTATGGAGTTCAGATGCGCAGTTATAAAATCATGAAGGACGTAGGCCTGAGTTATAAATTGCATCTGAACGACATTTATAGTTGAAGTGGATAACTAATACCCCTTACTAATCTAATTTGGACGCTTGTATATACAGTGATAGAAATATCAGATATTTTCCCTTTGTACATATGTATTTTTACTCCAAACTTGGTATGCATGTTTTTAATGACCCAAAATGCAATGCACAACAATCGGTACGCTGTACTTCTTATTTTTTGAGTTATTGCCCCTTGTTTATTTTTATACTTTACTTTTGTCTGGGCCATTTCTTCTAAACAATAAAAGCTATGGACCTGAAAATTAATAGGATGAATTGATAGATCTCATTGAGAAAAAGTGCAGTGCACAAGAACTAGTTCTCTGCACTTCATGATTTTAGAGCTTTTGCTCTTTGTTAATTTTCATACTTAATAGGCTTGTCCAGTGAGTTAATGCCTTTGTTAATTTTCATACTTTATTTTTGTCTGGGGCAATTCTCCTACACTTTAAAAACTATTAACTGGAAACGTCTTAGGATGATGGATCTTGTTGAGAAAAAGTGTAGTACACAATAACTAGTACTATGCACTTCATGATTTTTTTGATTTATTTCCCTTTTTTAATTTTCAAACTTAATAGGCTTGTCCGGAGCATAACTTGGTCGTTATAAGTTTGATTGACTCCAAATTTGGTATGCAAGGTTTTTTTATTGACCTGAAGTGCAGTGCACAAGAATATATTACAGAGTGCTCCATTTGATCTGTCAGTGTAAACCCTTTTATATAAAATTATGTGCAGTGTCAAATTTATATAATTACTATATGTTTGAATTTGATATGACCTAAAAAGAATGTG